GGGGGGCCGGAGCGCGGCCGCAGCGGGGCCCCAGGGCCCGTGGCCGCTCTGGGGTCGCCTGGGGAGGGACGCTTTCTTCTCCAGATTCACTTCTGCCTGGAGCCGCTAGCTTCGCCCGACAGTGCCCATCTGTCCGCTGGAGCCGGTGTGGGTGCCAGACCCGTCCCGGGCAGGGCCGGCCCTGTGGGCGTGGACATGTGGTGACCACTGGCTGTGCCCTCAGGGTGATGCGGGCGGCCGAGGAGACCACGTCCAACAACGTCTTCCCCTTCAAGATCATCCACATCAGCAAGAAGCACCGCACCTGGTGCTTCTCTGCTTCCTCTGAGGACGAGCGCAAGGTGACGGGCCTGGGGCGGGATTAGCCACGGGCAGGGGCCGCCCTAGTGCCCGTCCTCACACCCATGCCCAGGACCTGCCCTCAGGAGGAGCCCTGCGTGGGCGGAGGGGCCTCCCTGACCTTGGTGGGCACAGCAGGGCCTGAGGGAGGAGGGCCGTGCCCTGGGCAGCACATGCCCACTGGGCCCCGCTGCCCCACAGAGCTGGATGGCCTTGCTGCGCAGGGAGATCGGACACCTCCACGAGAAGAAGGACCTGCCGCTGGACGCCAGGTGAGCCCGGCTCCACCCCGTGCCCACGCCCCGCCCCCACGCCTGTGATCCCGTGTGTGCATGCGTGTGTGCCCTGTTGGTAGTTCCTCCTTGGGGGTCACATGCTCTCAGCTGCCCACTGGAGGCCCGGCATTGGCAGCAGCCAGAGCTTTGGGTGCGTCCCTCCGTGTCCGCCTGGCTGGCTCCGGGCTGAGTCCCTGGGACACCACTCAGTCCATCAGGGTCTCGGCGACCTCACCGAGGCGGCCCAGCAGCAGGAGCCCTTGGGCAGAACAGACCCCTCCGTCCTTTCATAGATGAGGCCACTGGGGTCCAGAGGAGGCTCAGCACCCCCAGGGCCACCTTGCAGGTCCCTGCCTGCCCTGGAGCTCCAGCCCTCAGCCCCAGCCAGGGTCCTGCGGTAGGCCCAGTGCCCTGTAGTAGGCCCGGTGCCCTGCGGTAGGCTTGGTGCCCTGTAGTAGGCCCGGTGCCCTGTGGTAGGCCTGGTGCCCTGCGGTAGGCCTGGTGCCCTATAGTAGGCCCAGTGCCCTCTGGTAGGCCTGGTGCCCTCTGGTAGGCCCGGTGCCCTGCGGTAGGCCAGCCTAGAGACGACAGCCTCCAGGGCAGGAGCAGGGGGGACGGTGCCCTGAGGTGGAACAGCCTCTGGCCACTCGGGGCCACACTTGTGGCAGAAACCATGGGGCGGGGGAGGCACCACAGCCTCGTCTCCGTGCTGGTCCTGGTGCCCTTGATGGAGCGTGTCTGTGTGTCTGTCTGCGTGCCTGTCTGTCCTCATTTGTGTTCACCTGTGTTCTAGGTCTGTGTCTGTGTCCTGTGTTTATCTGTGCATATGCCCACATCAGTGTGTGGTGTGTGCCCGTGCCTGTGTTTGTCGTGTCTGTGTGTCCACATGTTTGCAGTGTGTCTGTCTGTGAGTGCAGGGAACGCTGCCCTGTGCTCACCGCCACCCTTCCTCCCCGAACCCCAGCGACTCCAGCTCGGACACAGACAGTTTCTACGGTGCCATTGAGCGGCCAGTGGACATCAGCCTCTCTCCGTACCCCACGGACAACGAAGGTGAGGGCGTCTCGGCGTGCTCCCCCATCCTGCTCCATACCCGGACCTGGCTGCTGCCCGGGGGAGGCAGCCCTGCTGTCCTGCCTGCTCTGTCCCTGTGGCTCCCCAGCCAGTTTAGAAACCTTACTCAATGCACATAAAAGACTTCCCCCCATTCCTCGCCCCAGGGCTCAGCCGCCCTCTCTGACCCCCATCTGTCCACAGACTATGAGCAGGACGACGAGGATGACTCGTACTTGGAGCCCGACTCCCCTGAGCCCGGGAAGCCCGAGGGTAGGTGGCCAGAGGTGGGCTAGGGGTGCTTTGGGCAGAGGGCAGGGGCTGGGGCTGCCAGCCCCACCCTGGGCCTCGGTCTCTCCACAATGGCCGGCGTGTCAGAGGGAATAGAGCAGAGGAGGCCGTGCTCTGGC